GGCGTGTTGAATGTTCTACCTGACAGCTCACCATGTATCCCATGATTCACTGGTTCATTTATACACAATTTCATTTCTCAAGATGTACAACAATTATAAATGACATTAAGACAGGCTAATATGAATGTGTCTGGTCTCATTGCCTTCAGACTCAGGGCAGGTTTAATTTTCCAAATAGAATTAGAATGTGATGAACGTTGGAAATAAACCCGATATGATCCAATTTTATAATCTGCACTCAACCCCTAGACACAACCATACCAACTGCAATAGTACCATCTACTGAGCAATTATTGCCAACCATGTGAAATGGACTAATTGTCTAAATTATATAAATACTGGCATTAGGGTGATGAATGACAAAATGTCAGCTGACATTAAAATGAGCTGCTGCTTAGCCCCACTCTCTATGTGCATCCAAAATGACACCCCATTGGGCTCTGGTCAGAGTATTGCACTATATAGGGAATAGGGTGCCATTTCAGATGCAGACTCTTTGTAGAATAAATAGCACAGTATGATGTCACTGTGACTAGAGCACTAGGGGAGCTACAGTATAAGTATTCGTCTAGCCTTTAGAATCTCCATGTGTGATACTAGTGGACTTTCTATTTACAGTATACCTCAGACAAACGTCACATCTGAACATACAGAAAAAGGCTTTTATCATCATACTAATGGACTAGCTATCTATACCACAGACAAACATACCACCTTTTTAGTATATAAATGTGCCATAATGCATTACACCTATGACGTTATTTGGACGTTATTATGACATAACTGATGTTCAAAATACTCTAGCGCTATACATAAAGGGAGAGAAATAGTTTTGGATTATGCTGGACTGTTCTTGTGCTGTAGAAATGTAGGTACTAATTACACTATAATGCATACATACACCTGTGACATAATTTGGCCTTAATGGCATAATGGGCACATCCCTTCAAGAAAATACAGGAAGCCAGGGAAATAGCTTTGGTTAACAGGCTGCTATTATTACCAATAAGATAAACACTGTTGAGGTATACTGTACTAGAGACCTATTACAGCATGCCCTACCTCTTCTTAGGGAAATCATACTGAATTGCAAAGAGGCAGTATATTCAAACGAGAGCTTTGATGAAAGAGTATGAAAAATGCATTGTCCTGCTCAGTTAGTTATGTGTTCCATTATTCATTATTGTTCCAGTCACTCAATAGAATCAACAATTTTGGTCTGTTTATTTTTTTAAGTGTGAAAAGTGCAGGTTTACTTGGAATTGTTCAGCGCACTAATGTCCTTGGTATTTGGCCTTCAATTCAAAACATGCCAGTTCATTCTAACTAAGTGCAACAGGGCTGGGGTCAATTCGAATTAAAGGTAGTCAATTCAGAAAGTAAACTCAACTTGAAAAAATTGCATCTATTTTCAATGACTTCTCAATAAATTGAGTAGTAGAAGCTATTTATTTCAAAAGTGTTACATTTTAGAATTGTTTTAATCACCTCCTGAATTGACTGCCTTGAATTCGAATTGAGCCCAGCCCTGAAGTGCAACAATGTGAACCTTTCAAAGAAATACTGGCATGTTGACGTTGTTAGGTGTGCTTTATGTAGACGCTTGAAGAGTAAAAAGACAGCTCCAACAATGGAACCAGCACCATACTATACCCATGTATACTATACACTGAGTGAACAGAACATTAAGAACACCTAGTAATAAGGCCTGAGGGGGTGTGGTATATGGACATTATTGCCATTATAAACTGGTTACCAATGTAATTAGACCAGTAAAAATAAACGTTTTGTCATACCCGTGGTATACGGTCTAAAATACCACGGCTGTCAACCAATCAGCATTCAGGGCTCGACCACTCAGTTTATAATGTCCAATACAACACACATGTAGCCAAGTGAGTGAATACATAATAACTGCACACAAGCCCAATTGTGATAAACAATGTGTTTTATTTGCAGTATAAAAAAAACCAATTTGGATATCATAGCAGAGACATATTAGACAGATATAAACCCTTGTTGTTGTTTTACAGTAATAGCATATACCTTGTTGTACTCTTGTGCATAGAAGAACAGTACACACCACAGTTGTAGCCTATACTTGTGCATCACCTTTAACCCCCATAGCCTCGCAATTTATACAAGGCTATACTACATCATGTCTCCCTTTATACATACATTATATAGAGCTATGTGTATTCATATATTTACAAAGCCTTTATAAAATGTAGAAAAGTTGCATATAAAACATCTTTATCCCACATTTCACAAAATAATTGGAAAAACATCCTTGATTCATAGTCTTCATTTTAAATACAAGTGCTCATTTTGGTACAAGTAAACTTTGTGTTAGGTACATATTGTGTACTCATCTAGAACAAAATAAATAAACTAAATGTCAAATGAACAATACAGACTTTGTGTCCCATCTATACGCTCCTATTCCCACAGCAGACATAATGTTAGTTTCTGTGACATTCAGTATAACTACAACGGTTAATATGGCACTATTTTGACATGTTTTAATGAGACCATGTTGTCTACAGATAAGACATGCTATCTATCTCCAAGCATAGCTCTGTGACAGAAAAGACTACGGGCAACAGTGAAGTTTTAAGACGGTTGACTGGGAAGTAGCAACTCAAACTCAACCCCCCTCTATCCCCCTGGAATTCAAGCTGCAAAGACAAATTACACTCTTCACAATTTAGGATTGTAATAGTATAATTTATTTGGGAACGATATATTTAACATAAAACTGATGTCATCCTCCATCTTCCCAATAGAGTCATTAGTGACTGGTGAGTTTGGTAATGTAAAAAATTGCTCCGGGATAATACCAATGCTTTGGTAAAGACTTGGTCCACTAAGTTTTGCGAATGAAAACTGTCTATACTAACAAAGGCATCATTTGTTAAAGACATTAGCTAAAAACTGCCCATATGGATTTGGTACATTTTTGTTATCCATGCTTGGTGTACCAATGATAAGCTGTTGAATTGCTGCCTACAATGCTTCTTTCAACTTGTACTTTAGCAGTGCATTTATTCTACGTGCAAAACATGGACACGACGTGACCAGACATTCATTCAACCTGTATTGCTTAGAACTGTGCCTGAGTGGCACAGACAGGCGCTAAGTGTGATGAGTTAATTAGTGTCATGGACGAACTGGTGTGGGGGTGTTGAAGTCTTTTTCTCACACCTACTATAAAGTGTGCCATTGCTAGGTCCGTTAAAAGTATCAACTGAAAGCTACATATACTGTAGCTTTCAGGAAGGATGACTAACCGTTCTCAGAGACTCAGACATATAGGATTACGTGACTGTCAGTATCTACGGTGTCTTCCTACAATGTACCTTAACGACTCTTAAGAAGGGACATTGTACCGTAGACACTCGACCCAATTACACCGTTAACTCCAACCCACAGTGAGAGTGAGGGTGTTTCAATCAAACGCCTACGCCGTTAACGCCAGCCGAGAGCTCTGCAGATTGGAGCAGATCGGTGACCTTTAGTCAGTGGCCAAAGAGACCTGATGAGAGACACGATGGATGACAGAGAATGAAAAAGAAGAAGATAAGATGGAGAGATGTGGAGGAGTGAAGTGAGAGAAGATGAGAAGCTAGAATGGATAAGGGGGCCAGAGAGCTCATCAAGGTTGATAAATAACATGTATGTGACGTTCAGGGGTGATCTGACCAGTGCATCTACTGCCTACTGTAGTGGACAGTCTGATGATTCAAATAAATGACCTTACTGTTACAGTGCATAATCCTTCATAGAGAACTGCACAGTAATGCAATCAATCGACAACGCTTGCCTCTCTAATACAGAACCACATAGACCCACATACCAGACTGTCAGTGTATCACCATCAATAAGTTCAATTACCGGTAGCAAGAATAGATCAATCTGTGGTCATTTTTTATTAATTTAAAACGCAGTAATTTCATTACAATCATAAAGCCTGATTTCAGTACTGAAAATGTCAAATGTCCATATAAATGTGCTTGAATTCATAATAATCTATTGTGTGGTCAAACTGCATATTTTTATGAGTTTAAGAATACAGGGGGACATGTTGCGTAAGCCAAGTTATATTGATAGGTATCTTTCTTACTGCATGAAATGGAGAGTTCGGTACCATTGGCATTGTAGAAAGTGCAATATCATAACCTTCATTTGCAATGTGTGAATCTATATAGCAGCCAGTTTGCAGTGCAAGCAGCACATACAACCAGTTAAATCATTCATAGTTCAATCTAGGAGGAAATCACCTATTAAAGCGCTGATGTATACTTTCAATGAATCAATGTTTTTGTACAAATCATCTAGAGCATATTGACATAATAACAAAATGTATTGTCATGATACTGACATAACTTTCCTTTAGGTGCCACCATTGGACAAACCGATCGAGGAAGATAAAGTGATGAATGCCATTAATTTACTGTGATTTTAAGACACAAGTGTAGATAATGTGTGTGAGTACATGCCTGTGTGTGTGTGTGCATGTATGAGAGTGTGAATAAAACATGTGCTTCCGGTGCTGACCAGGTGTCCACAAACTCATTGGTTTAAAACTGCATATCAGTTACTGAGGCACTTGTTAAGTCACAATAATTTTTTACAAATTAAAATAAAAACAAAACTGGAATAAGAAAATATTCATTCTGATATGACATCTTGTTTATGTCAGCAGACGTCCTTCATGTGTCACCTTTTCTACATTTTCTCCTTGGCTCCGTGACTGGCTCTTTCACTGACGCTATACCCCTCCACAACACCGGAGGGAGCCACCTTGTGTTGTATACTTCTGTATGTACCTACAGGAGTATCCTTCCAACTGAGCTCCATTGCTTTGATCAGGGTTATATTGATTAGTGTACACCGTCACCGTAGCAAAATGTAGTAAAACGTTTTGCAATGGAAAACAAAAACTAGCGTTTCTTACTGGACAAATTGAGCTAGTCCCTCCTCTTTCAGTCCATTTTCTTCTGTTTGGTGCCTAGTGAATATGACCCTGGTGTGTGTGTGTGTGTCAGAGTATGTGTGTGTGTGTGTAAGCTAAAAGCTGGACTCGGGGACCGTCCTCTTGCGTCCCAGTGAGTTGGTACTATAGCGAGTCTTCTGCAGGGTACCGTAGGAGGGCTTCTCGGCTGTGAGGCTGCGAGGGGGCGGAGCCACGCCATGGGACAGCCCGTTACGGTGTAAAGAGGCGGTCCTTCGCATGCTAGACTCTTCCTTGCTGGGGATGTTGGACGAGCTCTGGGAGCGTTTGATATCGGCGGCACGTCTGGCTTTACCGTTGGGCAGCTCGTCTCCGAGACAATTGGCACCCCCGTTGCGGGGGGCTCCATTGGGTTTCGCCTCCCCCGTCTTCGTGGCCCCGCCTGGGTCTCCACTGGACAGGGACAGCCGGGAGGTGCTGGACCTGCCGACGTCGCCAACTTTTCCAGAGTCGGACTTGCGAGAAGATGACGACTCCTTGTCCTTCTTCTTGAAGTTGCTCTTGAAGAAAGACAGCAGCCCCTCGTGGCTCTTGGAGGCCTCCTCTACCTTCTCACCCTTCCTGGTCTTTTCTCCCTCGGGTGGTACAAGGCGGTCCCCTGGTGGTGGGTCCTGGTTGCCCTTGGCACCCCTCCTCAGGGTGCCTTCCCAGTCTCTGTCCCTGAGGCTGTGGGTGCTGGAGCTGGGCTGGAAGCCTGCACTAGACCCCCTCCTAGACTGGGCCTCCTGGAGCTTTCCCTGGTCTTTCTCCTTACTCTTCTTGGTACTCCTCCTGGTCAGAGTGTTAGTACTACTACCACTGCCCATCCTACCCTCGTCCCTCTGGTCTCTCTGCTGCTGCTGGGACCCTTTGCTACTTCGTCTCAGACTCCCTGTCTTGTCTGTGACTGGTCTTCTCTGGCCCTCTGGCATCTGCGGAGACTCTGGTTTGTCCCATGCAGTTCAGGCTGCTTCCCACACTGGGGGAGCTGATGGCAGATCCCTGCTTGCTCTCAGAGCCCGTCATTAAATTGACTATAGAGTCCTTGGTGCAGCGAGGTCTTCTTCCAGACTCTAGGTACTCCACCAGTTCCACAGGGGCAGGGGTGGGGATGGGAGCAGGGGCGGGCTCGGCTGCAGTTTTTCGGCGGTCCTTGGAGCCGAACGACCAGCGTAGCGGGAGGACCTTGTTCAGTGTCTCTTTGTTCTTAGTGGGGGTCCTCATGCTGACACTACGACCCTGTATGCCCCGTACGAACGGCCTGCTCTCAAAACCACCTGGGGGTGAAAGAGAGAGAAAATAACACTACCATAGTGTCTCTGACATTTAAAGCTAGACTAACTTTCATTTTCAAACCCCTTTTATTAAGTTGTAAATAATAAGCACAGTGATCAATATGAGCTTTTCTTTCAGCAACATTACATATGTAGGCATGGACTGTGCATGGACTGTATAGTTTCTGAGTAGAATATGTTCAGATAAATTAAAGAGATTCTGCAATCTATTGGCAACAACAAGGAATAATAATAACCATTGATTAGATTGAGCATTTTCCAGATGCTCAAAGTGATTTAAATAGGGGAGAGTGGGGTAAGTTGAGCCAAAGGGGTAAGTTGAGCCACCGTTGTTTCTAGGATACCATACACAACATTTATAATTTGACCACATATTTAGGAGAGGTCATCATTTCATGGCATCAGTGAAGGAAGAAACCACATGGAAAAAGTGGTAAGCAAGTTAGGTCAAAAAATTTATTTTCACCAAGTCAAATAAATTGTATTGTATAGAGGTTTCATGATGCTTGTGTCTAAACAAAGGTAGATCATTTTAAGTTGGGGTCTCTATAAGCTTCAATATATGGTCCTAAACCTAACATGAAAGTGCATCCTTGTAACTGTGTGGGCTAAAAATGTTTGCCTTAGGGTAAGTTCAGCCAATAGTTGAGCCAATGGCAAGTTGAGCAAATGTAAGTGTTTTCTTCCTAGGTGTAATGCAAGGCATTATCACTGGGATATGAGGTCAAAACAGGGCCTCAACAGTTTCCCGTGTGTATCAAGAATGGTCCACCACCCAAAGGACATCCAGCCAACTTGACACAACTGTGGGAAGCATTCGAGTCAACATAGGCCAGAATGCTTTCGACGGGGGGGGCTCAATATTAGGAAGGTGTTCTTAATGTTTGGTATACTCAGTGTATGTAGATATCTTTGTTAGAAAGAATACTATATTTCCCTTGACAGAGTGATGCTGAATGCAAATCACTCTCAACTTACCCCACTCTCCCCTACCGTAGTAACGAAAACTCACCACCCACACCCATCACCCATCCACCACCAATGGAATGAAGACCTAAGTTTTTTTTTTACCTTTCTTTGGTTTACCATGCATCTCATGTTTCCCAGGCCCCTCACCTTTCTCCTCTCTGGGGGGGTCATCAAGGAAGACGGGGGACTCTGGGGAGTCGGGGACAGAGGAGGGGCAGGTGGTGGAGGAGCGGGACACCAGACTACCCCTCTTACTGTCCCCATTCAGACGGACCAGCCAGTGGTCCGACATGGAGGAGCTGGTGGAGCCTACGGAGGGGAGAGACGTTTCTGGGACTATGGACACTGGACCAGAGAGATACCTACACATGTCAGTTCCATTCCAATTCAATTCCAGTCAATACAGAAAATACACAGAAAAACTATACAGATAATTCCTATATACTATATAGCATTTAGCAATTGAAATATCACATTGTGGTTTTGCTGGTTCATGTGGTTGGAGCAAGGTGCTTGCAACACCATATATTGCAGACATGAGTAAACCCTGCAGTTATGAGTTAACCTTTAGTGGATAAAGGCTAAATGGTTCAGCTGTAATGGAATTGAACCCAGAGTGAACTCTCTCCTGTGGTGTGTGTGTGTGCATGCCTGTGTGGTACACTACCCACCTCTGATTGAGCTGCTGGCGGACCAGGGGGGGATGACGTTACGTCTCTGGTAGAACAGTATGTAGGCCCCTCTGGTACACACCTCCTCCTCAGGCACCAGGTCCACACTGCTGTCATCATAGCTGTACCAATGGCCGTCCACTGAGTTCCTGCAGTATGCTGCATAACGCACACAGAACACAGAACATTAGAGACAGGCTGTACCACAATCATTATTTCCTGGGTATAGTAATATAGTATGTAAGTTGATGTGACCACTATTGAGGAGGGCACTGTATTGTTAAACACTGCTCAAAAAAATTAAGGGAACACTAAAATAACACATCCTAGATCTGAATGAATGAAATAATCTTATTAAATACTTTTTTCTTTACATAGTTGAATGTGCTGACAACAAAATCACACAAAAAGTATCAATGGAAATCAAATTTATCAACCCATGGAGGTCTGGATTTGGAGTCACTCAAAATTAAAGTGGAAAACCACACTACAGGCTGATCCAACTTTGATGTAATGTCCTTAAAACAAGTCAAAATGAGGCTCAGTAGTGTGTGTGGCCTCCATGTGCCTGTATGACCTCCCTACAACGCCTGGGCATGCTCCTGATGAGGTGGCGGATGGTCTCCTGAGGGATCTCCTCCCAAACCTGGACTAAAGCATCCGCCAACTCCTGGACAGTCTGTGGTGCAACGTGGCGTTGGTGGATGGAGCGAGACATGATTTCCCAGATGTGCTCAATTGGATTCAGGTCTGGGGAACGGGCGGGCCAGTCCATAGCATCAATGCCTTCCTCTTGCAGGAACTGCTGACACACTCCAGCCACATGAGGTCTAGCATTGTCTTGCATTAGGAGGAACCCAGGGCCAACCGCACCAGCATATGGTCTCACAAGGGGTCTGAGGATCTCATCTCGGTACCTAATGGCAGTCAGGCTACCTCTGGCGAGCACATGGAGGGCTGTGCGGCCTCCCAAAGAAATGCCACCCCACACCATGACTGACCCACCGCCAAACCGGTCATGCTGGAGGATGTTGCAGGCAGCAGAACGTTCTCCACGGCATCTCCAGACTCTGTCACGTCTGTCACATGTGCTCAGTGTGAACCTGCTTTCATCTGTGAAGAGCACAGGGCGCCAGTGGCGAATTTGCCAATCTTGGTGTTCTCTGGCAAATGCCAAACGTCCTGCACGGTGTTGGGCTGTAAGCACAACCCCCACCTGTGGACGTCTGGCCCTCATACCACCCTCACAGAGTCTGTTTCTGACCGTTTGAGCAGACACATTTGTGGCCTGCTGGAGGTCATTTTGCAGGGCTCTGGCAGTGCTCCTCCTGCTCCTCCTTGCACAAAGGCGGAGGTAGCGGTCCTACTGCTGGGTTGTTGCCCTCCTACGGCCTCCTCCACGTCTCCTGATGTACTGGCCTGTCTCCTGGTAGCGCCTCCATGCTCTGGACACTATGCTGACAGACACAGCAAACCTTCTTGCCACAGCTCACATTGATGTGCCATCCTGGATGAGCTGCACTACCTGAGCCACTTGTGTGGGTTGTAGACTCCATCTCATGCTACCACTAGAGTGAAAGCACCGCCAGCATTCAAAAGTGACCAAAACATCAGCCAGGAAGCATAGGAACTGAGAAGTGGTCTGTGGTCACCACCTGCAGAACCACTCCTTTATTGGGGGCGTCTTGCTAATTGCCTATCATTTCCACCTGTTGTCTATTCCATTTGCACAACAGCATGTGAAATGTATTGTCAATCAGTGTTGCTTCCTAAGTGGACAGTTTGATTTCACAGAAGTGTGATTGACTTGGAGTTCCATTGTGTTGTTTAAGTGTTCCCTTTATCTTTTTGAGCAGTGTTCATGTTCTATGTATCATCATTATTTGGCAGTAGGCATCTCTCCCACTAACAATATTCTATCCTCACTTCTACATCAACAGCCCCATACATACAATGCCAGTCAGTATACCTCTCTCATCAAGATCATGTCTCCTATATCTCTCTCCTATATGAATGGCCGGTCAGTACCTGTGTAATGTCCGCCGTGCATCCCACCATGGTGGTTACACACTGCATAGAGGTCATAGAGGAAGTCAGGAGGCAGGGCCATGTCTGGGTGACTAATATGATGACTGCTGCCTCCAGGCTGTTTCCATGTGGGGGGCCAGGGTCCCAGGTTCCCCAGGTTCCTCATGCTCTGGGACCTCTTCACCACGTGGGGGGCCATGTCCAACCCGGCCAGGGGGAAGCGCACCTGGGTGGACAGCTTGTTGCGCCGCTCGCCCACCTGATTCACATCATTTAAAAAAAGACACATACAACCAGTACTGGCGTTTAATCAACTATGAAGGTTAATACAATAAATGACTTATTTCCATTGTGGTCCTTTTGGGAAGAATAGACAGGCAAGTTAAGAATGGTAATACACTACATGAGGTCGGCTATAGTTCCAGTTACCTGTCGGAAGCGTTTGAGGTGGAGGATGAGGATGTCGGGGAGGGTCCACAGGGACATCTTCACCATGCCCTGCTGGAGCTGCTTACAGTGGGGACACTTCCATGCGTCGTCTGGGGCCAGCTGGAGAGAGAACCCGCACACAGACGGTCAGTGGGGAAGTCTCAGATAAAGTTATATTTCCCATACACTACGTTTGTCCAAAGCCATATAAAAATACACAGGGAGTGGAAATATGAGACAGAGAGAGGGAAATCAATTTATGAATCAACTAATGCAATATTAAAGCTGCAATATGTACTGTAACTTTTTGGGCGACTCCACCCAATTCACATATAAATGTGTGTTACAGATCTGTCATTCTCATTGCAAGCAAGTCTAAAAAGCGGTAGATATTTTCTATGTGCACTATTTTTATTCTTCCCGTTCTTAAATTTTGTTTTTGTGTCTTTTACTTTTGGTATTGTACACTAGCGTCAAACAGCTGAAAATACAAGATTTTTGGTTATGGAAAATATATTTCACAGCAGTTTAGATGGTACAATGATTCTCCACACTATACTTGCTTGTTTTTGCAACCAGGAAATGGCGGTGCAATTTCTGCATAGTGCATCTTTAATGTTCAGTACACCAAGGGTAGGTTAAGACCAGTTGTATTGGACGGTATTGTATATTCCATGTTACCTGTTCCTCTTTGGTGTAGAGCTGAAAGCACTCGTCCAGGGTACAGCTGTGCTGCTGCAGGTGCTGCTGCTGCTGGACTCTCACACTCTCTGAGTCCTTCACCACCTCCTCCTGGATGTTACCAAACAGACTGACACACACACAGACATGTACAGACGCAGAAAGTTAGGGTATGAGTGTGTGTGTTTGTGAGAGAGAGAGTGAGAGAAAGACAGAGTGAATCCTCCTATGCAATAAATAATGAGTGCGTGTGTGTGTGTGTGTGTTTCTGAGTCAATTGAAGTGGTGTGTGTACATGTGTATGTACAATGCTCACCATTCTTTGATCTTGTGTTCCCACTCAATCACCAGCTTCACATGGGGTGGTCCTCCCGGGCCACATAACTTCAGAGCTCTGGAAAACACATGATAAATACACACCATCTTCTGAGTACAATGTCTACCAGACTACCACTGGGTGCAATGTCTACCAGACTACCACTGGGTGCAATGTCTACCAGACTACCACTGGGTACAATGTCTACCAGACTACCACTGGGTACAATGTCTACCAGACTACCACTGGGTACAATGTCTACCAGACTACCACTGGGTACAATGTCTACCAGACTACTACTGGGTACAATGTCTACCAGACTACCACTGGGTACAATGTCTACCAGACTACCACTGGGTACAATGTCTACCAGACTACCACTGGGTGCAATGTCTACCAGACTACCACTGGGTACAATGTCTACCAGACTACCACTGGGTACAATGTCTACCAGACTACCACTGGGTACAATGTCTACCAGACTACCACTGGGTACAATGTCTACCAGACTACCACTGGGTGCAATGTCTACCAGACTACCACTGGGATATAGCTAGCCTTAGGTATCCCATACAGTCATTTTTTCACATATTGAGAAAGGTTTGAGTCTCATACCTCAAGGATTACTGCTTTAAAATGCCATTACAATGGGACCCCTGAGGGGATCAATAAAGTTGTATTATATGTCATATTACATTGCAGTCCATCTGTCACTTACACCGTAATAAACATCCGTTTTCTGCAGCATGACACTTTTAGTAATCCCAGTTTGTAAGCACTGTCTCAAGCCTTCGGAATCCAAAAGTGTCTGAGACTTTGGTTGATGAATACTGCCAACACATTGTTTTGAGATGTCATCAGGTCCATGCTAAACTTTCCCTATTAGTTATGGTGTATGTGTGTGTGTCAGTGGCGGACGATTATTTTTTCATGAGAATGGTCTTATTTCTATTACAGCATGTTGGATGACTGTCATTCATATTCCATTCACCCAGTTCAATGTAACTGCGATAGGTTTAGGCTACTACATGAAACTCCAATTTTCCCTATACCCATCATGAGGTTGCTACATCCTAGCCTATGAATGACAGTTTATAACATAGGCGCACACAGGTCGAGACACATTTGAGGTCACAGACAGTGACACATGGATGGACAGTGACATTCAATACCGCCTTGCACACTCTTGCCTGAATCTTTATAGTATAGTTTTATCTACAAATGATAACTTTTTAAATGTTACAAATTTTATTTTTATGAAATTCACTGAGGAGGATGGTCCTCCCCTTCCTCCTCTGAGGAGCCTCCACTGGTGTGTGTAGATGTTAACAAACATCAGTATTCTGTATTCTAAGTCAAGTCATTGTTGATCTGAGATTTCAAGCATGGTAAAACGTTCCTGACTCAAACGTACAGGTAATCTTTGTAGTGAGTTTGATTGATGATAAGAAGTGCCGATGCAGTGAAATACAATGGGCACCGGTTAGTGGGCACAGTGGGAAGCTCTGAAATGCACCACTAGGTGTCAGGCTTCCATAAGGTATAAACGCCAATAGTAAAATCAAACCATCTTGATCATAGAGTTGATTACTAAAACAGCATGAAATTAAAGTGACTGAAATGAAATAGATTAAATGAAAGAGACTGCTTTCTGTTATAACTGTAAACGGAGTGCTTTTGACTTTGATTGTGACTTTCAACTGTTGCCAAGCAGCTGCCACAATAGACACTATACTGTTGTGTGACTAGGATCATTCAGCTCCCTTTTGGTCTCATTGACACAAAGGGCGGTTATAAAAGGCAATCTTCAATATCTCTCTCTTCAGTAATCACTCTTCAGGAAAGAGGGAGAAATCCATCTGGGAAATCAACTTTGTGTCTGAGCACTGCAGTCAGAAGAACAATTGTGAGAGGATTCATTTGGTGTGTGTGTGTTTGTGTCCTTGAAAGTGTACGTTGTAAAGGTACGTTTGTCCTCAGTTGTGTGTGTGTGTGCTGCGGTCTGCCTTTGACTCAACCGAAGGTCACAGTCCCAGAGGCTACAGACAGACAGACAGACAGTGATGAGTGATGAACACACACTGAGATCAATCTAACACCTCCTCTACCTGCAGGACACTGGGAACCTAAAGAACTCTGCTTCAATAGTGGATGTAGTCTGACTTTTCTCTGTGTGGGTGTGTGTGTGTGTGTGTGTGTGTGTGCATGGACCAGAGAGATCGCTTTAGTTTGAAGTCAAAGTAGAGACGTCCATCAAGGTCCCAAGAACGTGTAGAATTGCTTTCAAAACCGGCCACTAGGGGGAACGGTGAGCACTATTACCCTTTAAGTAGGCTGCTGGCTTGCTAGGGCGTTGTGGACAGGGATGGTGGATAGGAGTAAAAGCTGCTCTCTGGCGCTGAGGGTTGCCTGTTCAATCCCAGTGCTAGGCAATCGTTTTTTAGTTTTCCGGTTTTATGCCTTTCCCAAACTTTAACCCTTAACTTAACCACTCGGAATTCATTCCTAAACTTAACCCTATTTTAACCTGATCCCAAACCTTCACCCTTAACGAGAAGTGAAACCTCCAGCCCGACGCAAGTGTTTTTGTTTAACTTACGCAGAGTTAGGTAACAGTGTGCCAACTTCAATGTCAAAAACGGACGTTTACTATGACTTCACCATAGACGTTTGGAAAAACGTGGACAAACCTCACATTTCGAAGTCAAACCGATACCTTGTTAGCATGGACAGGTGTGTGCACACACGAGCACAAATTACTGAATCTGTGACTCTTTGTCATGTAAAGGATGTTCTTCGTATGTGTGTGTGCATGCAATCATGCCTGGATGCATGTGTATTGTGTTCAGAAATATCAGCCAGCTTCGCTCCACAGATGACAGCAGCCCCATTAATTCCTTTCACGTTCATGTATTATTCCAACCCGCCTTCAAATCCACGCAGAAACAATTGCAATCAAGGAAGAGCGGCTGCTTGTCAAAACTAATCTGACTGTGGCATTCAGAGATAAAAAGACTACCACGGTCTGAACCCAACGTCATAAATGCCTACTTAGAACTTCACACACTGTGGGCTCCTCATATTGTTTATGACAGGCAGACAGCTCTGGTGCAAAGAGCAGGCACTTAGGCACTATAGCAGAGCTGCTTATCGGATTTGTGTCTTTGTCTCTGTCATGGAAGAGATTAAAATAGAGTTACAGAGAGAGAGAGAGAGAGAGAGAGAGAGAGAGAGAGAGAGAGAGAGAGAGAGAGAGAGAGAGAGAGAGAGAGAGAGAGAGAGAGAGAGAGAGAGAGAGGAGAGAGAGAGAGAGAGAGAGAGAGAGAGAGAGAGAGAGAGAGAGAGAGAGGAGAGAGCGAGAGAGAGAGAGAGAGAGAGAGGAGAGAGAGAGAGAGAGAGAGACAGTGATGTCACTGTTATTATTTTGCCTGGATAAAACTGCTAATCCTACAAAAAGAAACTCAAGGAAGACAACCAAGTTTTTTCCCCCTCTGAATTCCAGTTGTGTTGACTGTATTTTCAGTACAGAATGACTTTGTCAAGAGGCACTTGTGTTTACATTCTTTATATTGTATCTTTGTCATGTCATCTGACTTGGAATTCAGCCTCAATACATTCAGACAACAATGCACTCTGATCCAATGGCTCTTTCATACACATGCCTGTGTGTCACACACACGCACCTTCAATGGCCATGCCTGTGTCTCATCCCTTCCCCGTCACTCTAATTCCCTTGAGAACAGTCCTACTTCTCAACCCCCCCCCCCCCCCCCCCCCCTTCACCTTTCCTTTCCCTGCAGATCAATCCCACTTCATTTTAGAATACCAGACCTCCTTATACCCAGAAGGAGCGGTTGAAATTAGAACGAGAGGAAAGAAGGGGGGAGAGAGAGAGAGAGAGAGAGAGAGAGAGAGAGAGAGAGAGAGAGAGAGAGAGAGAAGAGATAGATGCATCCACACACTCCCAGAAAGGGTGGTCAGTGGAAGGAAGCCTGTCGAGCCCTTTCTTAGTGCCCTTGACCTTTCCTAGAGCCCTTTTCCACACCTTTGACCTTCAGAGGATCACTCCTTCATGGGAGAGTGAAGCTCAGAACCCTGAAGAGTGGCTGATGATGTCCCCCTACTGTCCACCTACTCAGTCCTCAGGTAACCATCTCCTTGTCAGTCAGATACTACGCTCTGTCACTCTGTCTCTCTCTCCTCTTGTCTATATACTTGATCTGAGGAAAAAGTATCCTGTCTCCCTGTCTGTCTCCCTGTCTGTGTTTGTTTGTGGCTCACCTTGCCCTCTGCCTCCAGCAGAATATCTAACTGACCACACAAATCCCCAATGTGGTTCTTTCCTAAAGACTCCATCTCTATAATCGAATCTTGTTCATACCTGAAATTGTTGCCTCAGGCTATGTACTGTTTCTAAGGAACATCATGTTCGACATTGGCCAGGGTAAATTCTATGAAATAACTTCCATATGACGACATGTTTGCAAAGCCAACGCTGTATAGAGGTCAATATCCCACACCTCCTTGCATGCCCGTTTATGAAAAATGAGTTGGTGTAATTATATTATTATGATGAAAATATGAGTTTAAATAAAAACACCAGACAGGATGGCTCCTCTCTAGCTTTAGGGAAGAATGTAATTGAAATAATAAAGGTACCATGTTTTTGTTTATAACCACATTGTAATTCAAGGACTGAGAACTGAATGGTCATGCTCTTGACTGAGATGAATTGCCAGAACAAAGGATAATGGATAGTCACATAGGATACCAGTCACTTATTCATTCTGGTCAATTCACTATACTGAAGGCACAACTCAAAGATGATTCAGATCAAGATGATCTTCTGATCAATCTATGTATCTCTGTATATAATGGTTATACGGTTTAGCATTCAAGGACAAATCTTCTCTTGCAATTGCTGATGAGAGAGGGTCACACAGACAACCCCTCCTCCCCAAACTCACCCACCCCAAGAAAAGTTTACTTTTACCTAGCGTCTGACCCCATTTCCCACCTCCTCAATAGAACTCCTGTGCTCTGAGTACAACTACACTACACGATCACATCACAACGTCAGCACAGCGTTAGATGGAGCTCCCTGTAGCTCCTACGACAGCTCAATCCAACTCTATAGAAGGGAGTATAAAGGCTCTTGTCTTATCTTCACTGCGACTTGATTTCTCTACCTTTTTACAGTAAGCCCCTCATGGCTCATTGGCTTCTCAAAGGCACTGTTTGGACAGAACAGGCAAACGATCTCTACTTCAACATGACATTCATTCACCTGTGATGTTTCTTGAGTGTTCAGAGATACCATGATTTACCATTTTATGTCTGACAGCGGCTGTTCAGTAGACTGGAAGAGTTACTAAATGACAGGCATTTGAGAGGGCTTTAAGTACGAATAGTACCTTAGTTCACATATTTTAGATTGACTAGGAGAGAGAGAGAAAGAAAGAGAGAGAGAGAAGAGAGAGAGAGAGAGAGAGAGAGAGAGAGAGAGAAGAGAGAGAGAGAGCAAGCGACGAGAGAGAGAGAGATAGAGAAAGAAAGCGCGAGAGAGAGAGAGAGAGAGAGAGAGAGAGAGAGAGAGAGAGAGAGCAAGCGACGAGAGAGGATAGAGAGATAGAGAAGAATTCTCTATGATAGAGATATATAGTAGAATAAGGATATATCTGATATGAGATATCTCTAGAATCATCTCTATATATATAAATAGAATACCTCTCTCGAGAAAAAATAGCAAGCGATGAGAGAGAGAGAGATGGATAATGCAGGTGCTGGTGTTCTTACCTGTCCACGGCAGTGGTGAAGAGGCGGGGATGTCATTCTTGTGGGGCAGGTCGCTGTATGGAGGGCAGATCCTCCCACCACTCTGATCTTGAACAGCAACCCTGCATTCTGTAGGCAGACAGACATTCAATGAGATAAGTGAGACATGAGATAAGACGAGATGAGATATCATACATTTGCACTGAAACTTGCTATGCATCTCAAAGCTGCTTGGTCACCACAATAGAGGAGGTCTAAAACTGTACCTATAATACAAGTGCATTGTAATACTGTAAGAATACTGCGGGAGCAAGCAGTACAGTATCTTTCTTTGGCTAAGATAAAAATGTTTCTCAAACAACAGCATTGTTAACTATTTCTCTTTTCGTTTTGCTCCACCCTTGACTGAACAAGGTGCATTAGGAGATGAATTAGACAAGAGGGGCTAAGTTATTAGAAGGTAGAGAGGAGAATCACGTTCCAAATTAAACCTAATGGTCTCATTTGGAATGAAGGCCGCTGGAGAATAGCGCCGCAGCCAAGCATACAGAGAAATAAATGAGAAGTCTTCATCCCAAATGGCACCCTATTCCCTACACAGTGCACTACTAAAGCCATAGGGCTCTGGTCAAAAGTAGTGCACTATGTAGGGAATAGGGTGCCATTTGGGATACACACTAGTTAATAAGACCAAATGACAATGTCAAAGAAGTATTTTGTTTGGGGGAGTGGACCATACATATGCAGTTGTGAGGTTATCTTTCGTAAGACTATAAATGAACAACTCCGCGTTGATGAGCAAATATGCTAAGCAAGTTTGAGGAAAGTTTGGAACTCGAGGGAACTTCTTTGGATGAGGGAGAGTGCCGTGAAAGTGAGTGGAGGAGGTGTGTGTGTGTGCATGCATGTTGAAGAATAGATAAAATGTAATGCTTGTGAAGATTTCATGTTATATCACTGTCTTTCTTGAGGATATTTGTACTACTTTTAATCTGTTTGGATTAGGGACTAATCAAGTCGGATTAAATATTAAACCGACAAAGCCTTGAGGAGAGAATATCCTTATCTTTCTTTTCAGCAAATGTTTGTATTTGTTGGGTACAGACAAAAATGATCAAAAATACCCTGCTCGCGAGAACAACAAACTGTATGCTGCAGAAAATACACCAAGCCTGGATGACTTGGTCAAAATCACAGGGTCTGTGTCTAAAATGGCACCCTATTCCCTATATAGTGCACTACTTCTGAATGCACTAATGTGGTAATAGGGTTCCATTTCCAACACACACAGAGACATCCTCTCTGAGCCTCAAAGTAATCTGTCTTGTACATTCTGATCTGTCTTGTAGATTTGATCCAACAGTTAGCAGCATACTGCAGACTGAACTTGACACAATGCTGGAATGACTCATCCGTAGGTGGGTACTAAAGCTTTCATGTAATGTGGGATCTAACGAGTGCAAGATCTGACCTCTACAACACATGGTGTGGTGAGGAATTTACCAAACCATTTTGGTACAAAATGTTCTGCTCCCTAAAGCTCATCATTTATATGAACTGCAGCTTGTTATGTTAGTTTGATGTTAAGCTAATATGAATTGTGAATACTGATAGAGGGTTCAAGGGAAGTTAAAGTATGCAGGTTATACATTGGGTTATACATTATTCAGTATGCAGGTTATACATTATTCAAGGGAAGTTCATTACATGCAGGTTAAACATTGAGCAGCATACATGCATCAAACCGCATGAGGAATAGTTATCTGATGTAACATGAAACATGGGGTCAAACTAACAATCACATTAAAGGCCTAGTGCAGTCAAAAAACGTGATTTTACATACATACACACACACACACACACACACACATATATATACATATATAAATATACACATATATATACATATACACATATACATACATACACATACATACATACATACATACATACATACATACATACATACATACATACATACATACATACATACATACATACATACATACATACATACATACATACATACATACATACATACATACATACATACATACATACATACATACATACAGTGGGGGAAAAAAAGTATTTAGTCAGCCACCAATTGTGCAAGTCCTCCCACTTAAAAAGATGAGAGAGGCCTGTAATTTTCATCATAGGTACACGTCAACCATGACAGACAAAATGAGAAAGAAACTGAAAAAAATCCAGAAAATCACATTGGAGGATCTTTAATGAATTTATTTGCAAATTATGGTGGAAAATAAGTATTTGGTCAATAACAAAAGTTTCTCAATACTTTGTTATATACCCTTTGTTGGCAATGACACAGGTCAAACGTTTTCTGTAAGTCTTCACAAGGTTTTCACACACTGTTGCTGGTATTTTGGCCCATTCCTCCATGCAGATCTCCTCTAGAGCAGTGATGTTTTGGGGCTGTCGCTAGGCAACACGGACTTTCAACTCCCTCCAAAGATTTTCTATGGGGTTGAGATCTGGAGACTGGCTAGGCCACTCCAGGACCTTGAAATGCTTCTTACGAAGCCACTCCTTTGTTGCCCGGGCGGTGTGTTTGGGATCATTGTCATGCTGAAAGACCCAGCCACGTTTCATCTTCAATGCCCTTGCTGATGGAAGGAGGTTTTCACTCAAAATCTCACGATACATGGCCCCATTCATTCTTTCCTTTACACGGATCAGTCGTCCTGGTCCCTTTGCAGAAAAACAGCCCCAAAGCATGATGTTTCCACCCCCATGCTTCACAGTAGGTATGGTGTTCTTTGGATGCAATTCTTTGTCCTCCAAACACGACGAGTTGAGTTTTTACCAAAAAGTTCTATTTTGGTTTCATCTGACCATATGACATTCTCCCAATCCTCTTCTGGATCATCCAAATGCACTCTAGCAAACTTCAGACGGGCCTGGACATGTACTGGCTTAAGCAGGGGGACACGTCTGGCACTGCAGGATTTGAAACCCTGGCGGCGTAGTGTGTTACTGAAGGTAGGCTTTGTTACTTTGGTCCCAGCTCTCTGCAGGTCATTCACTAGGTCCCCCCGTGTGGTTCTGGGATTTTTGCTCACCGTTCTTGTGATCATTTTGACCCCACGGGGCGAGATCTTGTGTGGAGCCCCAGATCGAGGGAGATTATCAGTGGTCTTGTATGTCTTCCATTTCCTAATAATTGCTCCCACAGTTGATTTCTTCAAACCAAGCTGGAGTTTTGGCCTTCCTGATGACATCACCAGGTGGAAAATTATTTAATAGACCAATAAGAAAGAGAGTTCCAAACCTCTCTGCCAATAACAGCTAGTTTTGAGTTCCCCCCTCCCTAGTCAGACCACTCCAAGACTGTGGTCCTCTGTAGCTCAGCTGGTAGAGCACGGCGCTTGTAACGCCAAGGTAGTGGGTTCGAACCCCGGGACCACCCATACACAAAAAAATGTATGCACGCATGACTGTAAGTCGCTTTGGATAAAAGCGTCTGCTAAATGGCATATTATTATTATTATTATTATTAAGACAGTCCTAGCTAAATTCTTGCTTGAGAAATGTCTCTTTGCTAAGAAGCAATTTTT